AATCTGCTCTTTTGGCTGCATGCCGTCTGTGCCACGATTTGCAAGGTTCTTCGAGGAGGATGATTTTTCCGACTGCGATGACTTCCGTTCAACCACTGGCAGTGAAGATGATATCGCTGAGAGGCTCATGTTCCGGAGCGATGACGAAGACTGAGCTTCGGCTTCCGCACCGAATCATTCTCCGCGTTCGCGGTTAATTAATCGCTTTTCTGCATTTCAGCCGTAGTGACATTGAAAATCTTTGACTGGCCCTGCATGGAATTCCGAGGGGAAGGGTCGAGGACCCACGGGTTCTGATCAGATGCTTTGGCTTGAAAGGAAGCCAAAAGGAAAGCGACTAAACTGGAGGGTCCCTCTACTGTTGAGACACGCCATGTCCGATTGACATTTAGAACCCGGGCGGGTCATCCTAAATATAGCGTTGGACTTCCCATGCGGCCGATAGCTCAACTCCAGTCGCAGGCCGATCCGTATGTTGATTCAGAGCCTGAGCCGTGGGAGGGTGATGGCCGAAACGGTCGGGTTCAAAACATGGGTCAGGTTGCGAGAGAGCTCCCCGACTCTGAATCCATGTATGACCAAAGGCCATTGCGACGTAGGGCCGAAACAAGGCCGAAACGACAGACCTGCAAGAGCAGCTCTTCGCCTTTTTCACGGGCTGTGCGCAGCCTATACACCTGGGATGAAATCCTCTGGGGGATGGGCTCCATTCCAGCGGAGAAAATCTACCTAGTTCCGAATCAGACCTTGGGAGCAATTTCCCTGGAGTGTAGTCCCAAGGTGTACTTGGGTGTGGCTCAAAAATGGGCGCCCAAAACGGAACCCTGCTAAATGGACAAGTAGACAAAACTTTTGAGCCACACCCATTTCCCTGGAATAAGAGCCTGAGATTGTGGTTGCTTCTGGAACCATCCAAAGGTGTCTTTCACCGGCTTTCCGCCCAGCCTTGGGTGTTCGGCCGACTCGTCGGTAGATTACCTGCGCCATGAAGCTTTCCGTCGAGTTCACCTTGTTGCCCCCCCCCCCCCCCACCCACTCATGTGGCACCTTACGAGAGGCTTTGAGGGTTGAGGACATTTATCTTCCAGGTACTGTTTGACAGGTGTCGGTTAGGAGGGCGGCTAGCGAACATCCAAGTACCTCGAGGAACTTCTCGCTGAGAGCCAGCAAAGGCGACCGTCGCAGTTGGCACGGCGCTTTTGTGCAAACCCGGGGCCTGGCCAGGTCTGCAAGCAAAAGATGCTGAAGGGAGATTTGGCTGTGGCTCAAAATAGGGTACCTTCCAACCCCCAGAGTAGAAAGAAAGGTGCAACAACATCTGGGTTTTCTGGGTGCTGAAATTGCGGCACACCCATTTGAAAGAAGCAACCCTCCTCCCAATTACCCCAAGGTCAAATGGCTTAAGTCTACCCCAAGGTAGCCTTAAACCGAGAGGTTGATTGGGGAGGTTCACAGTGCATGGCTGTTTCTTTCTCAGGGAAACCGATGGGTTGAAGTCCTGGTCCACGTATACTCGGACCACCGAGTTCTGCTCAATATTGGTTTAGATGGGCGGACTTTTATGATTCCCAAATCGTTGCAAAGCTTGAACTTGGTGATGTAGTTCCCCCCTACCCCCCTGCCCCCGCTCCCAGATTGTGGGAAAAACGCCTAGCTCAAGGCCAATTGCCAGCGTTTTTGAAAAGGGCTCCCTTCCCAAGGTTCGGAAGCACTAGTGGCAAGGACAAAGTTTCAGCCTGTCTTCGGCAATTTCCACTTGCCAACAAAACCCGCTTTTCCGTCAAACGGGAACTGGTCTGGACTGATTCTCGTCCCATTCTGCCCTTACGGGGATTTTCGCGGCGGCCGAAGCGGCCACTTTCCGAAGTGAGGTGCTGAAGGCCATCGCGAAGCTCGTGCCAGAAGTGGAGGCCGCAGTTTCTGATATTCGCCCAGTTTCGCCGCGCACGCGATTAGGTATCTCGTATTTCTTCCTCGAGTTTTAAGGCTTCCGGGTTGGTAGATTTTGGTGGCCGGGTCATTTCACATTTCAAGTTTCACAAGGTGTGACCAGAATCAAACAAGAGGTTTTTTTTGTGGTGGTGGTGGCCGCGGCGGCGGCGGCGCTGCTGCTGCTGCTGGTGGTGGTGGTGGTGGTGGTGGTGGTGGTGGTGGGTTCAGTAGCAAGCAAAGAGAGCGACGGGGTTTGTTCTAGGAGCCTTCTTTGCGTTTGTGTTTCCCACAAAAGCAACATCCAATAGCTAAAACAGACCAACCTTTTTTCAAGAGCAACCCGGCAGTCTGGTTATTGTCGTGGGAGTTCGTGCCAGGTTTCGCTTGGGCCGGGTTTCTGGCCAAAGGCCAAAGGCACAACAAAAGCCCGAAGGCTTCCTTGCGGCCTGGGTGAAACACTGACGTTTTCGTGTTGCGAAATCCCTGGTCTCGCATAGGTGTTTCAGGTTACCCCCCCCTCGTAGGTACCGAGCTCAACTCTCTTGAAACTGGCTTTCCTCCGGCAGTGCTCCGGCGCGTCTCCAAAAGGGTGGACCGCGGCCACAGATTTCTTCCAAGGCAAAAAGCAAAAGAGTTGTCCTGACCTGCTTCCAGCCACCTCTTGGTGGGACCCGTCCAAAAACCGCTTTGCACAAGAAAAGCAGACGTCACTTCCACGCACCAAGAGGTCAAACCCGTCCAACAACAGCTTTGAACAGAAAAAAGAATCAAAAAACAACAAAAACACCCTCGGTTGAACCACGCCCGACGTGGCTCGCGAGGCCATGACGGAGCTGGGCTCCGTGGCGAGTCCCTTCGGCGCGCCTCTGGGCCTGGTGGCTGGATGCTGGCGCCGCGCCATCAAGTGCATGCCCGGAGCCCCGGGTTGAGGGGAGGGCGCGCGCCTCCGCGCCGTTTTGGGGTTTGTCTGCCGAACCCCCCCAAAATGGGGTGGTTTCCCCACCAGACAAATGGTGTACCCGAGAAAAGACACACCCACGTGGGTGTGTACTTAAAGGGGCAGGGACTTAGTAAGTGAGTAATGCACACACTTACAGCCCGCTTTCCATGGTGACAAGTCTCCTTTGTGGGTTATAACCAGGCTTACTAATCACTTACTAAGTACCCTGCCCCCTTAAGTAGTGTTTGGAGGGGTATGATTTCAAGGGCATTTTCAGATGCGGGGTTTGGAGGTATCAAGGCGTATCCACTTGTATAAGGGGTTACTGCATTGGAAGCTTATATCTGAGGTATAGTATATAAGTTCTATGCCGTCATACTGTGGATGGACCACCTTTCAGAAACCTTGGAATGATTCGATTTTTCTGTAAAACAAACCAACACAACGCCGTGCGCGTGTTGCTTGCTTTCGTCCACCTTTCTCTCAAGTACCTCTGGTTTCGTTTCGTGCGATGTCTGGATGTCGATTTCAAGCATCAGCCCATAGGTGTCCTTTTCGATTTGGTTGAAAAATAGAGGGCGATTCCTGGTTTGCCCGGTGGTTCCATCATCTACCAGAAGGAGACTCATCTATTTCCCCCCAAAAGGACACCTATGGAGACCATTCCGCCCCAAAAAGCGGCCAGCGATGTTCCAACCCAAAACGGGACACCTCTGCCCTCGGCTCGATCCGAGGCTCCCGGCGCTGCTGCGGCTCTGGGACTTGGCTGGGACCGGGGTTTGATCGGAGTTCGTCGATCCGCTTCGGGAGCTCTGGGTGTCTGGTTTTGGGGTCCAGAAGGGAGGCACCGCGATTTTTGGGCGACATCCGAGCTGAAAGGTTTCGCAGGCTTGGCTCAGGGAAACCAAAGGGAGAATACATGTCTTGGACAGTCGATCCCCTTAAGCTCTCCATCTTTCTGGAGTATGTCGACAGAGCCATGGGACTCCCAAGACAGATCCTGGGCTGGCACTGGAACTTCGCTTCTCAGCACGAAGCCGAAGGAAGCCACACCGATGTTCCTGAGTGTCACCCGGTCTCGCAACAGCTTTGTCTTTGGTGCAGGACAAGAAAAGAAGTCCTTTTTCAGGTTGGACCCCACCAAAATCGCGGAGTGTTGTTTGGGCTTTAAGCCTTTTCGTGGGTTTTTCCAGCCAGGACCAGAATTGGTAAACCGAAGTACATTGCAACCCCATTTCAAGTACTGCACGGCTCTAGACTTTCAGGTCGCCCTTACGTGGTTTTTGCACTGGCAGTTTTGGTATTTGAAGCCCATTTTCTTGTGCACCAAGCCACACCCCCCACCCACCCCCCACCCCCCACCCCCAGGACGGAGCCGGGGGAGCAGGAGCGAGTGCTCGCTCAGCTGCTGGCAGTGCTTGAGCAGTTCGGTGTGTCGCCACCCGACGGCGCCGAAGACGCCGCGCAAAATGCGAGCGGATGCCGCGGGGTTGGGAGTTCGGGTCTGTTTTTTTTTTGAGGGTTCCCCTTTTTTGTGGGCTTTGAAGGGAAACCAGGAGGAAACCACATTTTTTTTGGGGTCACACCTAGGTGCTTCTCCAAATTAGGGACCCTTCCAGGGGTCGGTTTCCATTTGTCCCAGCCTCCCACTGTTCCTTTTTCTTGCTGCCTAAAAAGGCGTGCCGTTTTTTCCTATGGCCTGGTAGTGGTCTGAGACTTTGTTGTTGGATGGCACCCTTAATGGCTGTTTGAAATGGACGCCTACTTCCATTTTTTGCCATGAACTGGGTTTGAATTTCGGGTTGAGCCCATTGCGATGCCAGGGAACCCCAGGAGGCTTGCGACCCTTGGCAAAGCCATACGTTTTCTTCTTCTTCTTTTTTTCAGACACCCGACATGGACTTCGGCTTTCCTTTTGGTTTCCCTGTCAAACCACCAAAAAAGGGTGTGCCCTCCAAAGGGGAGCCAGCCATATCTTAGATGGATCACAAGCGTCTCCCCTTCACGAGGGGCGGGGTTTTCAATATTTTTTTAGTCCATGGTCCATTTTAGGGAAAGACGTAGTTCTGGCTGTTAGACACTTCCAGCTGGACATTCAGCACGGGTCTGCGACCGAAAAACACTGCAGGGGCCTCTTGCGGCGGCGGCGGGACGTTGGGCGGAAGGAAGCGGCGCTCCGAAACAACCAGGCGGACGGGCGACCCTTTCGGTTTTCGGTGCTCAACGTGGCATCACACAAGATCCGCCACTGAGAAACTGGTTCGTTTTTCTTTGGTTCCTTGTACTGTTCTTTTGAGCAAAATGCCAGGCATTGCAACCGGTGTCTTGTTTGTGACTCTCAGGGCCCGCCATACCATTGTCCCATGGCTCGCTCTCCCTGCATGGGAAGTGAAGGAACCAATGGGGAGGGGGGGAGCCGGCCGGTCAGATGGCGATGCGACTGAGAGTTAGTTGGACTCGAGATCACAGGTGTCTGAACATCACTCAGCGTAGTTTCTGCCACCCAAGCCCAATGCATCTGACCTTTTGGATGTCAGTGTTTTATGTTTTTTAAGGAAAGGGAACGGCACGACCCAGAAGGGCCCTGGACCCATTCTAGTGGTAAACACCCATACTTGGTTGCTTTCTTGGTCCACTCCGTCGGACTTGACGTAGCTTAGGAGGGATGGAGGTCTTTTGAGGGGGTTCCAAGAAGGTGCCTTTATTTTGTTTGAAGAGCCAATCCGTTTTGCCCATCGCAGCTCACAATAATTCGGGGGTATAACGAGCTCACCTTGAGGGATTCCCTATTTTCAGCGTTCGAAATCTAGCGAATTGCCCAATCAGAACCCCAGTTCTTGCTTCTTGAGTATCAACATCGGATTGACATGGACCAGAGTTCCTTCAAACGGATCATTTCGAGTGCCGAGGCGCCAAACTCACCCCACAGACCCCTGCGCCAGGCCCAAAGTCGATTGCCGCCGTAGCGCGGAGCGAGAATGGGGGGTGGCGAATCGACCAATACTTATTTTGTTCAACCTTTCTTTTGGAGGTGGTTCAAGATCCAAGAAGAAACACACAGTGCCTGTTTGTTCCATAAATATCATTTGGAGGCATGAGTCATGGAGTAACCCGCTTTTGCAGCTACCGTTTCTTGCCCCCAACGCCAGGCCCAGTTTGGCCAAATGAGGCCTTAAGGTCCCCCCAAGAAGATCCCCCGCAACTAAGGCCAAATGAGGAACCTTGGTAGGGGGAACCCTTCAGATCTGCACCAGCGGCGCGAGCCCCTCACAAGGCCCAGTTTCTTTGCGTGTCCGTGGGGCTGTAATCCTCAGGAACTTCTCCTAACTCTCACTCTCTCGCTCTTTCTCTCTCTTTCTCCTTCTCTTTCCTTTTTTCTCTTTCTTTCTTTCTTTCTCTTTCATTCTTTCTCTTTCTTTCTTTCTCTTTCATTGTTTCTCTTTCTTTCTTTCTTTCTTTCTCTTTCATTCTTTCTCTTTCTTTCTTTCTTTCGTTCTTTCTTTCTCTTTTATTGTTTCTCTTTCTTTCTCTTTCTTTCTTTCTCTTTCTTTCTTTCTTTCTTTCTTTCTCTTTCTTTCTGTTTTTCTCTCTCTTTGCTTTCTCTCTCCGTCTCTCTCTCTCTCTGTTTCTCTCTCTCTTTCTCTCTTGACCTCTCTCTTGACCTCTCTCTTGACCCTCTCTCTTGACCTCTCTCTTGACCTCTCTCTTGACCTCTCTCCTTCTCTCTCTTTTTCTCTCTGTTTGTCTCCGTCGGCCTGCCGTTTCGTAAAATCCATCATTCTCTCTGCCCGAATTGCGGACATATTTTGTGATTCGTGTCGCCCCACCAACCATGCGGGTGTGTCTTTCTTTAAGGGGACCTCAAACTGGTTGGCTTCCTTTTGATGTCCCTTTAAAACCAACCAAGGGTACCAACTCCAAAAAAGACGAGCCGGTCGAGAGCGAGAATTCGATCCGCCAGGAGCTGTTGTCGAGCCGGAAGGCGGCGCCGGAGAAGGCGACATTTTTTCTTCGCCTGCCGCGGGGTGGAAGTGGCTGGCAGGGCCCAGGGCAATGCAATGGGAATCCCACAGAGTAAAATTGCAAAAACAACTACATCTTATATGCTCAGCCCCCCCTCCATGATCTGCAGAAAGTACATGTTTCTTGAAAGATGTCCTACCTGCAAGTCATTGCATATCATTCCTGTCTGTTACTGTTGTGTGTTCCGTCTGCAAATTTAAATCAACCCCATTCTATTTGAAGAAGCAACTTCTAACACGATTCACCATTATTAAGTTCTACAGAGTTTCTGATTAGTTTTGATCGAACATCTGTTTGAAAAAGGAATTCATGCTTATAACACTTTATACTAGATTGAAGTTCCGATTATCCTATTCTAGCAAAGCTGGTCACATGAACATATTGCTTGGAAAGGGAATTCTGAATAGATATTATAATTGTTTGTTTCATTAAATTGTGTTCAACATTTGTTTTGAAACAAATCAACATCCTATTTGGTATACGGAGCCTTGAAAGAGTCTTTTAAGGAGTTTTACAAAGGAGCTTCATAAGAGGCCTTATAAGGAACTCAACTCTACAAGCAGCTTTGGAAAGATTAAGGAGCCTTTAAAGGAGGTGTATAAGGATCTTTACAACTAGCCCTACTACAAGGATTTGTGATCCTTGTAAGGGTTTTATAAGGAACCTTGCAAGGAACTTCAGAAGTCGCATTGTAGGGAGCCTCGTAATCAGCTTTATAAGGAGCCTTATGAGGCTTTGGTCACGAATTTAAAGCTAGCTCTGTCCTTATGCAATTCTGTTTAGATTCTAATATTTGCTTAATCAAAGTCACGTTTGGCAAAACATTCCTCGTTTCAGTCCAATCTAGACTGAGGTCGCTGACTGCGCCGGTAGAGTGCTTACCAAAAGACGTCAATGCATATCGAAGCAAGGCATGTGCATGTATGGTCACACCTTCTTCAAGAACTCGAGGGAGCAACTCTTGACAAAAACAATAAAATGATGCACAAGCCCACAAGCCAAACAAACCTCAGTGTGCTGTTGGTTTTCTGTGCGTGTCAGAGGAAAACAGAAACCGCCACGACTTTTTGGGAGGGATGATGCAGAGGAAGAAAGGCAACAACTGAGGGAAAACCAAGAAACAACAACCTCGAGAAAACACAACAAACAAACAACAAAAACAATCTCTGGGGGGCAATCTCTGATTTCAGCCCCAAACTTTTTGTTATTCTCGCAATTTTTGGCTCAGTAAGACACCAACAATACTCGAGGTCTTCTGGTTTGTGGACCTTTGGCCTTCTGAAAATCCGAGCAAACCTCCAGTTTGTTTGGTTCTTGTGAAGTAAAATGTCAACAACAAAACTGAAGGGCGAACACAACCACCTCAAAAAACAAAAAACAAAGTTTGGGGCTGAAACCAGAGTTTTTCCCCCAGAGAAGCTTGTTTGGTTCTCTCGAGCTTTTTGATTTGCCATGTGTTTTTACTGGTTTGCTTTGAAATGAGTAATTTCTTTATTAAATGCACTTGCATGCATTATCAAAAAATATTAAAAAAAGGAGCTTACATCTGGTTTAGTTATTGCACAAGACACAACTGTTTTCTAAAACATCATGTACTGTTTGGCGTGCCCACACAACATGGAATGCCCAACGACCAGAATTCGGTCAGGGGGTCTGCCACACACACACACACACCCACACCCACACCCACCCACACACACACACACACCCACACCCACACCCACACCCACACGCACCCGCACCCGCACCCGCACCCGCACCCGCACCCGAACCCGAACCCGAACCCGAACCCGCACGCGCACGCGCACGCGCACGCGCACGCGCACGCGCACGCGCACGCGCACGCGCAGGCGCAGGCGCACGCCCACGCCCACGCCCACGCCCACTCCCACGCCCACGCCCACGCACGCACGCACGCGCACGCGCACGCACGCGCACGCGCACGCACACGCACACGCGCACGCGCACCGCGCACGCACACGCGCACGCGCACGCGCAAGCGCACGCGCACGCGCACGCGCACGCGCACGCGCACGCTGCAAGCGCAAGCGCAAGCGCACGCGCACGCGCACGCACACGCACACGCACACGCACACGCCCACGCCCACACCCACGCCCACGCGCACGCGCACGCGCACGCGCGCACGCGCACGCGCACGCGCACGCCCACGCCCACGCACACGCACACGCACACGCACACGCACACGCACACGCACACGCACACGCCCACGCTCACGCCCACGCCCCTGCCCACGCCCACGCCCACGCCCACGCCCACGCCCACGCGCACGCGCACGCGCACGCGCACGCTTACGCGCACGCTTACGCGCACGCGCACGCGCTCGCCAACGCACACGCGCACGCACACATACACGCACAGGCACACGCGCACGCACACGCGCACGCACTTCCATGATAGGCTACAACTCATAAAAACCACGATACCAGGCAGTCTGGCATTCAACATGTGTGCTGTCAATACACAGGAACTATGTGACACGACTTCAAAATGCAAGAGGTACATCATAGGGAGATGGGCTCACTATATAAGTATACATGTATATATATATATATATACACAGATGTATATAAAATCAGTACCGAATGAGTTCTGCTAATCACCCAGGACTGTAATCTATTCAACTCAGGGTTGTGACCACTTCTGTGATACAAGGGAATCTGCCCCTTTATATGGGGAGTTAGTCTTTGGGAATCCATTTTTGTTCTATCACAGAATGGTCATTTTCCACAGCCCTGGTTTAACTCTATAGGGTCTATAGGAACAAAGCCAAACCAAGGGTTTCTCTTTGTTGTTTCAAAGGAGGAGAGCCAACTTTCGAGGTGGCCTAAACAGCCCGGGACACCCCCATCAAAAAAGGGCACCCTCAAAAAGAGACACACCAATATGTTAAGAACCCATTAAACACCCTTGTCTCAAGAATCACAAGCCCCATATATTGAAACAGCAGGTTGGCCTACCCTCGCAGTCGAAGTGTGTCTTGCAAGGAGCGGTCCCCGCCCTGGCCTGTAGCAACACCTCCGCGGAAGGCTTGTGCGGGTGTGGGTGCAGCAGAAGAGGGAGGGTGTTGGTTTGGTTTGGCTTGGCTTGGCTTGGCTTGTTTGTTTGTTGGAATGTTTGTTGGAATAAATGAAATGAAGTGAAATGAAATGACATGACCTGAATTCAAATCATGTTAACTGACGTGACATGACATGACATAACATGAAATGACATGAAATGAATGAATGAATGAATGAATGAAGCTGCTGGGCAAGACAATCCAAAGGAGCCCCAGATGTGTCCATATCCATGCACACATGCAGAATATGTTGCGCATTCCTCGGACGCTGGTGAGGGCAGTTGGTCGGATAGTTGGACAACTGACGGTTTTCAACCACTGACCAGCCTGGTGGCCTGAAGTACATCTTACTCTGAGCCTCTAAATGATCAAGGTAGACGCTTGGTGAAGGGCTTCCTCTGGCTTCCCTGGGTAGGGTTCCAGGGGATTCCGGGGCCAATCTTTCGCGCCAGGGTCTTTGGAGCACTGAATAAGGGTTGCTTCGCCCGGTCTTCATCCTACAAGCCTGAGATTAGATGAGTATCAGCCTAGAATCAGGGGTTGAGTGGTATTCTCTGTGTGTGTGTGTATTTTTCGACGCGGTTGTTGGTTTAAGCCCGCTTTTGAGAGAGACCAGCAGCGATGGCGATGTTGTTCAGAACCAAGTTGCGCCCCTTATGGTCATAGGAGCCAAAGTCCCCATCCCCGAACCCCCATTTCCTCCAAAGAGACCTTTTATAGGCCTTATCAGGGTCTGATTCTAGGGTAAGAGCGGGGTTGGGCGGGGTTGTCATTTTTCTGGCCATTGCCCTACCCAGTAACTAGCAATCCAAATTGAATTCGATGGAGCTCACAAGGGAATACGCGCCAAAGGTTCCTAGAAGGTTCCTTGTTTTCGGTTGAAAGAAGACAACTCGCGCAAAAACATGCATGGCCCCTGAGAAGCGGACATGGGTTCCTCTTGGAGTCTTGGAGGTATACCAACTTTGCCAAGGCTTCCGGCAAAGAACACCATGACGAGGCTTATGGAGCTTGAGCCACCAACAAAACACATCACACTGTTGGCGGTTTTTGGCGAATGTCCTGGCTTGCCTTCTGATTCGTCCGATGGACCCGGACGGCCAGCCGCTGTTGGTCTTGCGGATCTGCTCCCTTGCCCAGCACAGAGCGGCCGTTGAGTGGCTGTTGAGCAGGTCGAGTGGATCCGCGAGAGGGAGTTTCCCCACGTGGATCTCCAGGGCAGCTGGTGCGGATCTGTTTTTTCTCACCTGGTGAATTGAAGGGGCCAGTAGGATTGCTCCAGTGCTTGAACTATCAACGTCACACCCCTCTTTGAAGAAACCCTCCAACTCCCCAACAGCACACCCCTTGGAAAAGAGCATGGACCGAAACAGGGAAGTCGTTCCTGTGGACTTACTGGATCTGACCTTTTGGTTTCGAAGACTTCCCGAAAATGAGAAAGCCAGATTCGGAGTTAGTGCTGTGCATCAAACAAAAAAGGCGGCATTCTCATTGCGTTACCGCTCTGAACCGGTGAGGCATGACAGGTAGAGTATCAGGCGTTCCCGTGTTTGCAGCTTGGGAATAAAAGTATTTTGACCAGAATGGTTACCTTCCCACTAACATGCAGCTCGACCCTAGGTTTATATGCTGCTCTGCTCAAGAACAGGGCCGATGGTTTCACTTGGCTTTCCCAGGTCTTTTTAGTTGCCTGCGACATCGTAACTTTTCTCAGCGGTTCTTGCCCGCCAGGCGAGCGCGGCGAGTAGCATGTTCCGGGAGGAGGCATGCCTTCGCTTCGCTTGTTTTTGCTTTGTTTGTGGGAAGGCATGTCGTGGGTTGGCGTGTCAAACGACCAATTCCAGGGAACCAACATCTGGTGTTCTTGGGCTGCCGGATAGAAACTCAACAAAACGATGTTGTCGCATAGAAGCTCGTCCAAACGGTGTTCACCCCTTGCAACACGATGGTTTGAGGCCGAACCTTCGGCCCCAAAACACCCGTAAAACACTGAAAGCTCTCTACATTCAGGCTCCTTCCCATCTCCAAGTCTCTCAAGGCCTGTTTTGCAAGCCACTTCGCGCCTGCGCAGGCGCGAGACGCGGCCACGCCCCGGCGCAGCCCATGGGCGCGCCGAGGCATCTGCTTTTTTCTTTGGGTGGGAGGGAGGCAGGGCTGTTGTACCTTAGTCAAAGACTCCCCCCTGAGTGGTATGTTAAGGGAAACTTCCATTTTCTGAAATGAATAGTTGTTGTTTTCTCTGGTTTTGAAGGGAACAGATCACTACCGACGCTGTGTCCACCGTTTGGCGGCGGTTTCCCGATGTCATGGTTTTGCAGAATGCTACATGAATATGGGCTTGTCTCAAAATGAGGGACCCCCAAAATGGTTGGTTCGCTTTTGGCTTTCCTTCAAACCAATCCCAAGAATAACTACTCTCCCGAATCCGTCCAGCTTAATTCAGTGTCGGGCTCGCACCGACGACCTCCCTCCCAGCCTTATTGCGGGCCTATTTTTCTACAACAGCAACAGCAACAGCAACAGCAACAGTACCACCACCACCACCAACAACAGATGTAGCACCCAGACACCCCGGAGGTTCCTGAGGCCACGTGGGAAACAGAAACGCAAGGTCGTGCTTGAATCTCAAAGAGCAAAATCCTGGCATTTCTCTTGAGAAACCAACCTGTCTAAGTCAACCTTGACCTGTTCTGACTCCGTCCTCCGGAAGAATCCTAGCTTTTAAGCGTGGACTCCCAGCTTCCAGGTGGTCCACACAGAGGCCCAGATAAGGTGAAAAAGATCGGCGGCGTTTGTGTTGGTATTGGTGTTGGTGTTAGCGGTTGATTCCAAGGGTGCCATGGCTTGTCTCAAGATAGGGGGGCTTTGCCCCCCGTTTCAGGTTCAACTTTTAAAATCCAACTTTGCAACGAGCCACTCAACATGCCGTTCTTTGGCTCGGACTCGAGTCAGAGGCGGCGCATATGAGCAATCATGCTCTTCTGAAACCACACAAATTGTGACCAAACAAATCCAAGGATCAGGTTTGTAAAATTCACAAGACATCCAGTATACCAATATGGGTGTGGGGCAAAATTCAGGTACCCAAATAGAACCTTGGTAAAGAGTTTAATTTTGACCCATACCCATATGCTGAACAACTTGGCAAGTCTATCCAGTGACATCAAGTGAAGCGCCAAGCGCAAGGTCCCGGCTGTCGGGCTGAGTCTCCTCACGACTGCCTGGGCCTGAGGCCTGCATAAACCTCTTTGAGGGTTCCCCCCCGCCTTTTTTTGGGGGCTTCAAGGGAACCCCCTCCCCAAATGCTACCCCTCAAATGCAGCCAGTTCAACACTCAAAAGAGTCAAAAGAGATTCACAAGTACCTTTTAGCCACTCAATTAGGTCTTATTACATCAAACCTCCCCAAAAAGCAGCTCAATTTGTTGCACGTCAATGACATCGACCATGGGGTTTTGGGTTGCAACCCGCACTTTCAGCATCCGGTCATAGTTGCACGTGGGCCACACGCTCCCCTAGCACTGGCTTTGGTCACGACGGCGGCCATGCTGCCCCTTGAGTTCTTGCCAAGGAATTACTGTGGATGGTTGAAATGGAAATCCATTTCGTGCTGCCTAAGAAAGGTTGGTTTCTGATCATTCCCCTGTAAATATCAAGCAACCATGGCTTCCCATGGTTTCATTTCGTGGCGCGAAATGGATTTCGTCCGTCCAGTGTGATTGGCTGTGCCCCTTGACTTCCTAAGGGCCCTAGAGCCCGACACTTTGAAGGGATGCACTTGGAACCAATCCCAAAATGAAGCAGCCTTCCTGAAAGGAGAGTCTTCTTGGCTCAGGAATCCCGAGTGCAAGTTGTTTTTCCTTTTGGCCTCATTGGAGCACAGATGAGCATGGTTGCGCTCTCTGTGGCTTGGCCTTTGTCACTGAGGTTAATAAACTTATGTGTGAAGTTTTTGTTTCTGATGAGCTCAATTCGTCTGTGACTGCCGATCATATCCAGTCTCAAATTCATTGCCTTGGCCAGCTCCCCGAGCATGCCCCTATGCGATTGTGGGAACCGTCAGATTGGGGAGTTTTGAGGGTGCTCTTGGGTATGCGTCCAAAAAATGGGATTCGGGCTCCAAAATATGGATGTCTCGCTTGGTTTCTCTGTTTCTGCGGGAGCATCCAAAATCGTGTTATGTTTGGTTTCCCTGACCCCAAAAACAAGCTCACCCTAGGCGCTTTTTATGCGCCTTTTTGAGGCTCGGCACTCTCTTCGGCACCCATTTGGGCATTTGGACTGGCGTTTTTTCTGCGCGCCATGCCCGAGACCAAACCCCGAGGCATCGCCAGCAGATCCCCGGAGCCTGAGATGGACGGGGTCATGAGAAGGGCCGGCGCAGGCGGGGTCCGAGGGCCGATGGAGTTCAAAGCGATCAACCGGGTGCTGAAAGGGGCATTGGACTTAGTGAGACATTTGATAAACCGTGGTTATAGGTCCTAGTTATATCATGGCAAAGGTTGCTACGGGATAGCCGCCGCCCGAAATCGATTCACTGCATTGCATGGTTTTGGGTAGACCGTTTCAATAGATGACCAGAATCACTCAAAAGGGGCCTGTGGAGGCATGTCTGTACATGTCTATGCCATGTGCGTCCATGTCAAAATGCAGAATCATGTCTCTTTCTACACATGTGCATGCCCAAGGTCGTGTCGTAAGGCTTCCCCCCAGCTGGCACCAGGGAGTGTTCGCAGTTTTCTGCTTGCCAAGGCTTTCAAGGCCGCCAAAGAGGGTTAAGTGAAGCCCCGTGGATGTTTCTCAAAATGGGGGAGACCCGCAAATGGGTTCTGTCCATTTCTCTTCCCTTTAAAGCCACCCAAAAGGCGGGTCCCTCACCAAAGAGACACCCATGTGGAATGGCACTTTTGAATTGCCCTTTAGGTTTCCAGGTTTGTCGTGCCAGTGAACACTTAGGGTTGTCAACTTTCCGGTTTGGATTAATAATGATTGCACACAGTACTTTCTTGTGATCATGACTCGTTTTGGTTTTCAAAGTATCCCACCCATTCCATCTGTTTGGGCCCTCACATTATCTTCCGCATTCTCTCTTCCCCATTGGCTCGGGGCTTCTGAAAGATTTGGTTGGGATTGCGGCGAGGCATTTATAAACCTTGGCCATGGTATGGGGTTGGGCCCACGAGCTAAAGTGCACGGGCGCTTGGCATTGAGGGCACGAGCGAGGGGCCCTGGTTCAATCCCTCGGGCCCAAACTCGCCCGACTCGCGACAGACTGTCCGAAGGACTTCCGACTCTTTGGCAGGGGCTCTTTTGCTCGGTGTTTGGGAAACCACAGGGACTTTGTTGCCGTTTCTTTTCTGGCGAGAGTGATCCTTTCGGTTTTCAATCCTTCGGGTTGCCTTGTGCAGGGATGAGGTTGCCCTGATGCCCAAAGGGGTTTCTAGTTTGCACGTTTGCTCAAATAGTTGTGTGTCTTTTGTCTTTTTTTAGCGACCCCAAAGTAGTGGTTTTCGTTTTGGTTTCCCTTTGCAACCACAAACACGAAGTGCCCTTCAAAAAAGACACACCCAATTAGAAGGAAGATGTTGGAGGATAGGGGGTCCGCATTTCATGGTCTTTTTCGGGATTGCCTGAAAAAAGCACCCTCAGGTTCAAGGCGTCTAAAATGGGATTGCAGGATTGAACTAAGGCTTCCAATAACCTCGAGGGATCAACAAGGAATTCCTTTCTCAGGTGTAAGCATGTTCAGGGCTGGAGTTAGGATACAATATTTATTCTAGTGTTGACCCAAAGTGAAGCATTCCCTGGAAGCGGGCAATGGCAAAACCAAGTCGGATAAATTTGCCATCCACTCTCCCTCGAAAGGGTACCCTTATGGACACATACACACGCACAACATACAGACTTTGAGAACACTCCAATCACGAGACGTTTTCGCCGAAAAGCTCGCCGGCGCTCCTGCGCGCGCCCCCGCCGCAGGTAGGTCTTCTGGGGGCGGCCCATCCTCCATTTGCCTGGGGGTGCGGCGCTCGGATTGTGCCGGCGTCGTTTTTTGAGGCTTGGCTCCCGGCTGACTCATCGCCATCGCGCCATGGCCATTCCGTTGTTGGGCCAATGGGATTGGAGTCAGGCGGCTAGATGGGATCGTTTTTTGATTCCATACTAATCTGCAATGGAGTTTGTTTCCAACATTTGCCAGTTGGGGCTGTCTCAAAAATAGGGGAACGTCTCAAATTCGTTGCTTCACTTTAGATTCCCTTTAAACAACCTCCAAACTGAAAGATGTCTGCCCTCCCTCCCCCCCCTACAAGGGTTCCAAGAACCCTTCCAAGAACCCTTTCTAAGAAGGTGCTACAACCTTCATTTGCCATGCCTTCGTTTTTTTCTGGGATCTAGACTGGTACCGAATTAGGGAATGTGGGCAAGAATTCCTGGCCTGATTTGGCTTAGGTCCTTGGCCTTTGGTTTGACCTGCCACTCATTGTGTGGCTCATTCGGCTTCAGCTTGCTGTACTTAGGCCCTACTTGGGCCAGTTGGCCATGCCTGGTAGTCTTTGGCGCCTGTTTGCTTTCTTGCCTTTTGCCTTTGGAGTCAAATTATGTGCCAAGTTTGCTTGGGTGCCCCTGGTAATTTTCTTGAAGGGGAAACATCGCAACCCCGGAAATCACTGCTTGCGCTTGCACCTAGGCGGTTTCTATTCCATCTGGTTTCTCGGGGGCTGTAGCAAGGGCCAAATGAACCTTTCAAATCATGGGCCTCCTTCTACTCTCCAGGCTTTGTGGCATGTTGCCACCCCCACCCGAGTATTTTTTACAGGGCCATGGAGACTTTCAGTTCGAGACACGTTGTTCTTGCTAGACGCAGCTTCCCACTTTCTCACTTTTGGCCCATTTGGGCTTCCTTCAGTTGTCAACCAGCAAACCGCCTTCCATGGACATGCGGGGGCAAACCGTGTGTCCTCTTTAGAAAAATAGATGGCCCTGGTTTACCTGGTGGTTTCATCATCTACCAGGGCCATCTATTTCCCTAAAAGGACACCTATGGTCGGATCCGTTTAACCCAACTAAGGGGGGAGATGCGTTTTGTTGCTGGGGTGAGCGCCGATGCTCTGGCCATGCAAGGACCCCGGCCAATCCAAGCGGCCGCAACGCGCCCCTTGGCGTTTTGTGCGGGATGGGCGGGAAATCACGGGGCCTCACGGGATATGGCACGTACCTTTTTTCGAGGATGCCAAGGTTTGAACTTGGTTCAACGGGAAACCAAAGGGAAGCTTGACTTCTTTTGTTTTTCGGGGGGGTTCTTTCCTTGGAAGCAAGGATAAGCCCATATTTCCCCAAAGGGGTGCTTTTAAGCATCCTCTTTTTGAGTTCCCCTCAGGGGTGATGTTGTCTTAGGGGAAATAGGGGGAACTCTGCTACCCTGTTTTTGGTCCTGGGGTACAGGCCGCCCTTCATGCTGCCGGCCGTACTCTTAGAGTTGACTAGAGCGAGGGATTTATGACATACACTGCATGGACAAACTCCTGAACCAGTTGGGATGGATGAAGCCCTTTGAATAATGGGATAGTCCTAGCAACTGGTGTAGGAGTTTGTCCATCCACTATGCCACTGAAAGTTTAGCTTTTGGCAAGGTATCAAGGTATTTCTCCGGACTGTACTCAGATGCCCGCCATTTGGACACCTTCCCGGAGTCTGGAGGCTTGTCGCTGAAATCCGTGTGACCACTTGCGAAAGCAATTGGATTGTTCAAAATCAATCCGGAAAATCTTTTTTGCCAGGTGGTAGCGCTTTCCTCCTTTACCCTTGTGCGCGATGCGTGTGGTTTCCTTCTTTAGACGCATACCGGATGGTGATGGTCCTCTTCTTGTAGTGCCCCACTACGAATTTCGGATTGGCATTCGGGATCCTCACATTTTGCGCAGCCCACCGCACATGCCAACATGGCCGTTAATGGAGGTTTGCAGGTTTCTTCTCTTGTCTCCGCCAGGTGCTGGGTATAGGGACCACTTCCTTGGATTTGAGTTGGCGCTTGGATGTTCAGCCAAGGTTAGCTGCCCGGGGTATAACCCACTGACAGGGTGAACTCTACTTAGGGGCACTTATAAACAGGTTATAGCTTAGGTCACCAACAACTTACTTGGCCGAACACCCAAGTACCCTCTTTGGAAAACCCAAAGGACCCCCCGTTTCACAGCTTCGCGGACCCGATCGTTCGATTTGATGCTCCATTGTGCCACTCGTCCGCCGGTCCGGCAGCATTTGAACTGGTGAGAACAAGGACCCCTTCTTTTGGGGGGAAGGGTTTTAAGGGAAGCCCAAAGGAAACTGCCCCATCTCCAGGGGTCGTGTTTTTTTTTTGGGGGGGGTAAGATTTAAGATGGTGATGTTGTTGTTGCTCCTTCAAGGGCAGACCCGGTTTGGAGAAAACGTTTGCTGGATTGGGACCGCTTTCAGACAGAAAAAACACTCCCATTTTGGCGTATCACAGACTGCGCCCGCGCCCAATGGTCATTCAAGTGAAGCAATGCCACTTGTTTGCTCTCCTGCCACAAAAACCCAAGCCTTTGTTGCCTCCACGCCGCCCCCTGGCCAGACTTGCACTCAGCAAGCTGAGCTCACCCGAATGTCACTCCTGATGAACTTGCGCATCCACGATTCTGGGGTGAGCGTCTTTCTGGCTGAGAACTGGGGGGAAGGAGGGCGGTTATCATCTCAATCCAGGGTCGGCAGCGCGTAAATCGATTCCAGACGTTAATCGGACTCCCGCCACCTGGGAAGCCTTGAAGCTTTTGAAGAGCGGGGCTCGGTCAACTAACTTGGCTGGACATCGATGGACAAACCTGGGGGATGTCGATGCACAAATCCTATCGCACCATGAGCACGAAGGAATTGAGCTTTCGGCTTCCATAAGTGAGGGACCTTGAAGCTGGCGGCTTTCCTTCTGAGTTCCCCTTGGCCAATGGCACCTCAACACACCGCCGATTGGTTCCACCCACGAAGTCAGCGGCTCCGAGGCCTTCTCAGCGGACGTTGCGCGCTCCAGCCACTCGCCATGGTTCAAGGGGTTCCCCTAGAAGGGGTCCGGGGATCGGCATTTGGGTATGGGTCAAAATGAAACCACCAGGAATTGGACCGCAGGTTTTAGTCCATGCTTCCATTTACCAGGGTTGCATTTGGGGTACCTATTTTTGACCCACAGCCATTTGTTCGGCAGATGCGTCGGGGTGTTCGCAAGCGTCCGCCAGCTAGTTGCCCCGCGCCGTCGGGGAAGGCCCAGAATGCGCGATTTTCTTGTCTTTATTTCGCCTGTGCTCAATCGTAGCTTTTGCGTTGTTGCGCATCGTTTTGCTGCTGAGACGTCTAGACATGTGCTGGGCATATGGTAAACACAGCCACCTCGATATTGCGATTTGGCTTTTTGGCTGCCTATGTGCCGAAACATCCCCTCAAACAGGGCATGGTTTTTAGAGGGCAGCCATACATTTGTTCCGGTAACGCACGCCCTCAGTGTTGACATTGGGTTTTGCGCGCCACTCACTATTACCGGAAAATATAGTGTTGGAATGGTCCTGCATTGGGCGCGCCCTTTCGAGATACGCACGTGCTTTCTTTCCGTCCATTTTGAGTGGGTCGGTTCATTCCCAAAACTCGGACTCGTTGTCATTCCCGACCTAGGGGCACCATCAAGTTTTGGGTTGATTACTGAAAACGGCCAACTCCGAGTCTTCCAGCTCTTTCTGCCTTTTGGGGGCTTACAACCACGGGAGACTTACGACCATCTAGGGGTACCTTCCCCATTCTTTCCAGGGATCCTTCTTTCCAGAACACCTCCAGAAACCCAGGGAAAACTGAACAGAATGGGGCATCATCCCTTAGATTCGTGGGTTATTTCACCCCGGTTCTTCACCACTTACGCGACGCACCGAAGCGATCGCAAGTACTGGGAGCTTCAACCGAGGCCGCGCCAGGGAGGACTTCCAGGCGTGCCCGCTGGGAGTTGGAGTTTTGGTTCTCGCGTCTCGACCAAAAAAGGAGAGACCCCTGCTCGTTTGAAAGGTTTTTTTTTTTTTTCCCCCCCCCCGTTCCGAAGAACACCGCTTATTTTGGGGTTCTCAAATTTGGAGACAAAGCCCTTCACAAACAAGAAGGGTTTGAGGCGTGTGTGTCTGTGTGTGATCCTCCGCGAAATCCAGGCATGTTCGACGTGTGTGGGGCCTACATCTTCCAAGTCTTTAAGCCTGCTGGGCATCAATAGGCCCCATGTTCCACCCCTAGCCGGTTGGGGTTAAGGATTCGACTCGAGTTACTCCCCGCGCTTCGAAGACTCTTGACTTGAGACACGCAAATTTGCGGGACAGTCTGGTGGCTTTTTCCCGAACCCACTCAAGAATTGAGTCTGTGTCCACCATACCAAAGTATCCTCCAAAGCTGCTTGTTTTGTTTGGGTAGGCTAGATATGAAGCATGGACATATTACTTCCAGCTTTCCAGTGTGTTGTTTTTTGGCCAAGATGCAGGGGGTAGGGGTGCTCGCAACGCGAGGCCATGCGCCGGGTCACCACCGGCCGGGACTGTGAGGCGCATTTTTGAGCGTGTTTTCGGGATTGCCCCAGTACTCTGGAGCCCTTGAGAGGGGCCCCGTGTTGCGGGTGGCCTTTGCTTCCAACAAGTTGCACCATGCTCTTTCCAGGTCCCTTGCGGGTTTTCTTTTGATGCCGGGCTGCGAAACGTCCCAGCCTGGCTTTTGTCTCCATGTCTCCACGGGTTCGGGGGGCAACAAGAAACCCGTCAACGCGGGCAACACCGCCCGTTCTCCAATCGCTCTTCTTCACAAAGCTGCCAGGGGATCCCTCTCAAGATCTTAACCCTGATTACCAAGCCAGGAAGCCGGAACAGCGAAGAATCTGGGTGTTTTCAAAAATGGGCCGCAGGTCTACCCCTGTTTGGGTTGCTTTTAAAAGGGGAACCGAAGTAAAAGCAAAGGACACCGAGGCTCTTCTTATTTCCCTTCTTGAACAACCCCTCAGCGCCTGGGGGATCATTTCTTTATGGTTCCTGGTGTGTGTTTTAGCCTTCCGACTTGTTGTGATCCTACATGAGTGGTGTTTCTGTTGTTTCCCCCCCGTTCAAGCAAGCATATAGGTGTTGACATATCAACAACAAAGGCTGCGCCGCACTGCAGCCGCGCAAGGTTCGCGGCAGGTTTGCGGAAGGTTTTGCGGAAGCTCGCAATTTGCGCATAGTAGTTTGATTTCATTTGGGTTGTTGCCAAGCACGCTTACTAGCAAACCTTGCACACAAATTCCCTCGCGAAAGCTACCTTCAAGAACTTGAATACAAACTTAACCCTTCACACCTCGGAAGCTTCGCGGAAGGTTTCGCGGAAGAGTTTGATAGTTTGATACGTCAATGCAAATTTACAGGGAACAAAAGCCACTCACGTGTTCTCAGGGTAAACCACCCCTCAGGGGAACCTTGCGAACCTTCAAATATCCCCGGTAGAAGTGCTTTGGCGTGTATGGTTTAAACCTTTGATATATGTCTATATATATACACACCCTTTTGGCTGGCAAAAGCAACGTGTTTGATCAAGTAGTCTCTGTGATTTTTGCACACAGCTCACTTTCCTACATATTCTTGTGGGCCCAGCAATGGAGGCTTGGATCGATGCCTGGGTCAATTCCATGGAGCCAGCAGAGCTGCAGAAGTACACGAACTTTCAAGCCGCAGACTTCCAGGCTGCCACTGACGCAGAATATGTCAAGACTGCGCCTTGTAGGGTAGGCCGTTGGAAAATAAGGATGTTGGGTGAGTAGTGCCCTAACACTGAGAAATCAAGGTTGTCGTGAAACAAAAGGTGTCGAAGGGATTAGCCTCCTGCCTGCGCTGCTTGGGCAGAAAGCAAATCGATTGCAGAGTTCGCCCACACAGGCTCGAGCCCGTCGAAATGGTGGTTTAGTACACGGATGATCAAAGGAGGGAAGGACATGAACCAGTCACAAGCGTATCCACGGCCGCCCGTGGTCGTGATGATGGTGCTTGCAAGGTCAATGCCGGGCAGGGATGGCTCGATTTTGAGCTCGACTTTCAGCAGGGCTAGGTGGATTCGGACAAAAGTTCACTCCTCATCCTCATGGCTGGCCAACTGGTTGGGAAGAGCAGGGCCCCAGAAAAAGGAGACACTGTTGGCTTAAGGCGTATATGCTTTCCTCTTCCGAGGGTTGCTAACTTGGCAAAGACTTCCTACCCACAGTTTCCCACCGTGTGACAAAGGATGCAGGGCATCTATTGAAAAGAAGCACTTGCCTGCTTCTGGGGTTGTTTGGTTAGACGCAACCAACTCTGCCAACTGATCTTTTTCAGCCCGTGTTTTCTACCCGACACTCGCCGATATTGAAATTCTTGATTTTTTTTGGCAATTCATGGCCAGAACAAATTTTAATAGCGTGGCCATGGGCTGGTTGAAAGGGAGCCTCTTCGAAGATGGTTGGACATCTTCCTCAGCTAAGCGCTCACTTCCCGAGCTCCTGGATCTTGTACGTTTTGGGAAGACCATGTTAGTGGGAAACAAAAACAATTCGACTTTTTTTGGGCCATCGATTCAGGAAGTGGGCCAAAAGCGGGTCCACCAATTTGCGAAAAAAAAGAAAAAAAGAAAAAAGGCGCAACAGCTGGCCCCTGGCAACCCCCAAAGCTGACGGCCGGTCTTCGAGCCCAAGGCGAGTTCGGGGGCTTGAGGTCTCGGCCGTTGAACCCTTCGGAACCTGAAGGAACTGGCCGGAAATGCTAAACCTGAGATTCCCTGAGCCTGAGAAGCGGAGCCCAGTTCACCCAAGGAAGCCCAAGGAATTTTCAGGAAGCTTTGAGGAACCACAAAAAACACATTGACCTCCATGAGAGCTGTGGTACATTTCAACAGGCCATTTCCCGCAAGGGGAAACTTAAGAGCAGTGCTTCAAACTGCGCGCAAATAGAATAGGTACGTGTATTCAAAACACTGATTTGTTTGTTTGTTTGTTTGTTTGTTTGTTTGTTTGTTTGTTTGTTTGTTTGTTTGTTTGTTCGTTCGTTCGTTCGTTCGTTCGTTCGCTTGCTTGCTTGCTTGCTTGTTTGTTTGTTTGTTTGTTTGTTTGTGTTTGTGTTTGTGTTTGTGTTTGTGTTTGTATGTGTGTGTGTGTGTGCGAAGTGAGTGTCGCAAAGGATCACATTGCGTCCTACAGCGGTTTTTGCTGAGTTGGCAAACTTTGATCTGGTCAAGGCCCAAGCATCTTGAGCTTTCTGGACTGGCAAATTCGACAGGACACGTTTAGAGACGATTTGTTTGATTTGTTGAACTGTTTCTAAAGTCAGACACTGGGGCGGTTTCCCCTTCGTACCACGTAGGCTGACCCCGATCAAGGCGCAATGGGGCGCCAGCAATTGTCACCGCAGTCCTTTCAAGAAAGCCGCCGTAAGAAGATGCATGGTTGTACCCTGATTGCACAGGCTTGTATTTGGAGGTTTGCCAAACTGGTTCGGCTTTTCCGGTGACTGGCGGGGGGGGTCTATGAACCAGAGACGCTAGGCTGATGGGGGTTCATTTCATGAGGATACGTATTTCTTAACCAGTACGTTTTGTCCCTTCGAGTAGAGGCTTGAAACAGAGAACCGCTTTCTCGATATACCGAGATGGCCGGCGGTCCGGGCCAAACTCATGAAAAATCCCAGGCACGAGTTACCGTTCAACATCTGATGGTTGATCCCAAGCCTTCCACAACCTCTCCCGCCTACCCGCACCCCCCCCCCCCCTCCCTAACCCCTCAAAGAGGACCCTGATCGGCCTTACTGTTAACTTCGGATCAATCCAGTGGTGGCCTTATTTTGGTATCAAACTGATTCTTTTCCGGTGATGTTGCTTTGACTAGTGACTAGCAGGGTCCTCCGCATCAATCCGAAGTTGACATTCTTCTGGGGTGAGGATTAGTTGGGTTCAGAGTGAACATTGGGCTTAATCCGAAGTTCACATTTTGGGCTTCAGAAACCTTGGGTTTGTGAGTGGCAAGGGGGGGGGGAGCTCGGGACAGCTGGCTAAACGGAGAATGTTCAGAGAGCCCGAAAATGTGATCTTGAGAGCACCAAACATGTTCGCTTCAAAATTGGGGAGCCCTGTGCTTTCTGACGTTTCCCTCGAAACACCTGGACACCCCCCCCCCCCCCCCAACTCTCTCAGAAGCCAGCAAAGTATAGGACTCCCCCCTTTGTTTGAGGATATTCTTTTTAGAGGCGTTTTACGAGAATGGACACCTAGTTGTTGGGGCTGGGTTCCCACGAACAGAAGTGGCGGCATGCTCTTGTACTGCCCCCCGACTCTGCGGTGTCGAGGCAAAAGGGTTCCCTTTTCTACCCGGGCCACTTGCCGAGACATCCTCTTGAAAAACCTCTGATTTGAGCGAATGTCTCGGCCCTAGGATTCAAACCACCATTCAAGCAATGGTTGGGTTCATATATTTCACCATTTCCAGTCACCTTGGGTCTACCTTGAAGGCCATTTGTTTCATGGGAATCGGTTGAAACGTGTTGAACCCCAGGGTTTCAAGGCCAAACCGAGAGATTCCGCGCCGAAACGGCAGGAGACCAGCCCCGACCCTCGCGCGCGTAGTCCGCGGGAGTCCGCGCGGTCCATGCGCGAGGCGAGGGACGGACGGGAAGCAAGGGGAGTCCCGTGCGGTTTTCGGGGCACTTTTGGGTTGGTTTTGATCCATTTGAGATGTTTGGTTTTATTTTGGCTAAATTTATGAAGATTGGTGGTAGTTTGTTCTGCTAGTCGTTTGTGTGGGTTGCAAAGAACAGCTTTTTGCCAACATACCAATCCGCCAGGTTGATGCGGAAACAATGCTACATATTCAGCGAGTGGCTTTTGTCTCCGACTTTCCCCCTTCTTTGACCTTTTGGTTGTGGTCCAAATTTCGCCATGGTCTCATGTGTAGCGTGGTTTGCAAAAGGGAGCGCTCAAAAGCTGGGCAATTCTTCTTTTTCCTTTGGAGTGGTTGCCTTTAACATCAACCACTAAGCAAAGGGTGCCTCCCATCCCCCGGTTCATTTTGATCAAGGGGGTTTTAGGGTAGGTTTTTTTTGGAGAGGCAAAGGGAAAGTCTCCATTAAGAAAAATGGGGGATGCCTCTATTTTGACACATACCCATTTTGAAGAGTCCGTTGGGTGCTTTTTGGTGGTTTCCCACATCCAAAAGGTCTAGCTCTATGCGTGATTGTTTGCGGAGAACTCTCCTTCGTTTCAAAGAACGGTCGGGTTGCTCCGCTATTGTTTCTTATTTTGTGGTCAACCTGCAAATACTGAACATGATCCGAAAGCAGTTTTTTTTTGTGGAGCCCGGATTTGGGCCACGGAATACGGTCAAAAAGGGTACCGTCAAACCAAGCTCAAAAAAGGGGTGTCGTCAAGAAAGATATTGGCCATGATGGACCCCTTTTAGTAGTGGGAAACAAAAGAGAACCAATTCTTTTAGGCAACCACGATTTTGGGAACTCTCGGCCTGCAGCCCCCCCCCCCCCCGGTTGGGTAGTTGGTTGGTTTGGTACATGGGCACCCGTCCTTTGGGATTTGCCTGCCTTCACCTGCCAGGAGGCCCTCGATAGGGCCCGCTCCCCTCGCGAGGCGCCGCTGCGCGCTTGTCGTTGTGAATTCGGAAGCGCGAGTTTCGCACCTGTTTGTGGAGGAACCGCAGCTTCACCGTTCTTGCTTTTTGTGTTGCTCACTGTTGGTATGTGATCGAGCTGAAGCTCCTCGCCATTGCGGGGACGCAACCCCATCCGGCGCCTCTTGGGTGCCATCATGGCCGAGACATGGGGTGCTGGTTTCCAACTTTGGGGTCTCCCAGAACCGGTCTCCCAGAACCTTCTGGAGTGCTTCGGAGCAGAGGTCGGGTTGCTCGGCTTATTCTCCTTGAACATCAAGTTGGATCCCCTTCTAAAAAGGTGGAGTACACTTCCAAAGAAGAGAGGGTTGATTTCCAGCGAAACAGTCAGAAGCTCTCGAAACCAAAACAACAACCTGACAATTGAAAGCGCAGACATGTTTGACCTCGTCTTCAATTAGCTCTCCCCAGACTTTCAACTCAGGTCAATGGATCTGGGTTTTGGGCTGTTAGCCCTTGGGAAATCACATGGAACCCCAAAAGCCATAGGCTACGCCATTTGCAGCAAGCTTCCAGGGTGTGATTTTTTTCACTGAGGACCCAGACTGGTGGACATCGTTTCGGTTGGGATTTGTGTCCACCACCACTTTTGGGCGGTTCCCCATTGAAAGTCCATGGCCGCTTCTATTTGCGTTGGCTTCCAAGGAACATGGAAGAGAACAACAACCAGTCTTTCCGAATTTAGAGCCATCAGTGTTGTAAAAACATGATCCTTTGGCCAGCTAGGAAGTCTACTCGTTTCAAGTGGAAGCCAAAGGAATTCGACTTTTATTTAGGAAAATTAGAAGCGCATCTCTCCAATCGCTGTAGCTCCCTCAACCAGGGGAACATGCGAGACATACGAACAATAGTGCTTAAAACCGGCCCCAAAACACAGAACGTGCTATTCTTGCGGTTCAGGTGCCAGTCCGCCACTGAAAAAAGCCCGACTTCGGACCTCTGTGTGTCCATCTTTTTGCCCAGGATGCGGCCCAAAGCGCGCGGTCCCCACGGCGGTCCGAGGCCGCGAGCGAAACGGGGCAGCGTTTTCGGTCATCTTCTCGTTGGTCATTTGGCTGTGGGTCAAAACCAATGGGATTTTATTTTGGGGTAGGTGCACCACCCATTTGAGTCTATTTTAGTGGGGACTGGGATGTTCACTGGGCGTATGGGATTTTGACCCATGGCCATTGTCCTTTGCGTGGGCCATTTGAGGTTTGGTTGAGATGTCCAATCTTTGGTCCCTTTGAGAGAGGCGTGGGGGGACTCACCCAAATTTCTCGCACAAACCAGGTGACTCTCCCAATTCCTCATGTCCTCCTGGGGAAGCTAGTAGTTTTGCGTGACTCATTTTCTGACCACTAGAAGCTTTGGAGTCATTTGCAGGGTACCTGAGGGTTCTAGGCACCCGGTACTCTTTGGCGTTTGTTCATGTTTGTTGGGGCTGCAAACAATCACGAGTTTCTTGACATACCAGGGGCTTGGGAAGTTTTGGCGTCTCGCTCATTTGTGCAAGGCATTCCTTTTTTTTTCTTTTTCTCTTTTTCCGGCGCTGACCAAGTCCAGTTTTGTTTGGTTTAGCACTTGTGGAACTTTAACACTCGTTATATTTGTTGAGAGCCTGGAACATAATGGCTGTTCAGCCAGTCCCCATTGACCCTTCCCATTTTGGGTTCGGGGTATGCAACACCCTTTTCCATCAAGTACGGAAGGATGGCTGATGGGTGCGCCAACTTCGCAAAATCCAATTCGCAGGTGCGGACTACAATATGGAATACCTCAACGTTTCTGGACAGACATGCATCCTCAAAGGGTCCAACTCGAGAACCAAAGATAACGCAGCTGAAACATACCCTCCCAACCCAAGAGCCCTTTTTTGAGGAGAATGATCCAGGACCCCTCCCCCCCCGTCCGGTTCCTTGGTGGGTGGGTTCAAAAGCTTTGTAAACTGCCCTTCATAGCCATTACTGCCTTTTAAAGCACCCCCGAAACCCGAATTCCTATATTCACATTGGCGCACCCCTTTTCGGTGGGTAAAGCCAAACCAGCAGGAAACCGTTGCCATTTTAGAGAGGCGATTCCTGTTTTCAGGACATAGGGAGCCGTACCCGTCGCGGGCAGGCGAGTTGGAGACGCTCCGAGGAGTGTCGGGTGTTGAGTCAACTGGGCTGGGTGTGTCTCAAAAGGGGCGTGTTTATTTGAGGTTCATTGAAACCTAGAGCAAACTGGACATTTATTTTTGGCCCCCCTTTGATGCAACCCAAATAGAGAACCACCTACACTGAATCCCTACTTGAATGATGTCCAAGGGCCCCTTAGATTCACACCCCAAGAGGTGTTACGGTCACTCTTAGCCACCCATCCAACATGAAGGACATTTGTCGGCATCGAGAGGCATTCAGCAATTGGAACTGGATAGGGTAGGCCACAAGAAGGGTGTTTCTCAAGTAGGGATCCCCTAAACAACTCCCTTTGATGCGTCCACAGAAACAGTACTTAGACGGTCACGAGGAGGGGGGGGATGTTTGTTTGGAAAGAGCTTATAGTGTTGCAAGGGGTATGGTCATGAGGATGTGTTTGCTTGCCCCGTCCTAGGGACTGGAGGGGGGGGTGAGCAAGACATCCGTCCATCCATCCATCCTTCCATCCATCCATCAATCAATCCACCCATCAATGAACCACTCCAATCAATCATCAGCCAATCCATGCAGGAAGTGATGCACATAGTCGGCAACCTACTTGAAGGAGAAAGCAGTCTCATGTAAGTGAGTAGCAACCCGTGTTATGACGGAGCCATTTCCACTTTCTCATGCCCATTGGAGCATGTTTTGACCGGTAGGGATTGATGATCCACCTTAAGGTCCCTTCCAAACCTGTTCGAAGGGATGGCCTTGGGGGTTCTTTCGGGTTTCTCAACCAATTCAACTCATCCAGGGTTGCTCCGGGCCATTCGGAAAGATGAAAAGCACAAGGGTGGCGCCTTTCCTTTGGTTTCCCTCACTTTGGAGTAACGTTGGTTTGAAACCGACCCTTTCTGACCGTCGGTTCTCATTTTTTGGTCGATGCTAGGACTGCAAGCTATGGCCAAATAGCTGGATTTGAGCCGGGAGGGTGCAAATTCAATGAATCAGAAAACCGAACCAAGGCTTACGTTCAAAAACTGTTCCCCACATGTCCAGTGCGGTTTCGATCACCTTCCTGGGTTGATCAATAGACAGGTCCCAGTCGGAGCCCCCGAACTCCAATAGGGGCCAATAGGGTGTTTTGTTGAGTGCCCTTTGTTGGGGCGTCACCTCGCTTGCGCCCCTGACGACCATGGGGTAGAGGGGAACTATCGAACTATCTGGCTATTGGAAGTATCCAAAAAAATGCCAAGAGGGAGCTAAGGCTTTAATAATTACAATGAACAAACATGATGTACTCTGTACATTCGTATCATATGTTTGTGAGTGACTACAAGTTATCACGTTTTGAAATAGCTGAAAGGTGCGACCAGGAGTTCTGGAATCGCATGGTAGCACCTTTGGGGAACCAGCCCAGAAAGCCGCGCGCAGAGGCGTCCGCGCGCGGCGCCGACTTTCGCGAGGCAGGTGAAAGGGACGCCTTAAAACAGAGACGCTTGTGGTGCTTGTGATGTATTCCTTTCTATTTTTTTTGTGAGCTGAAAGGGCCCACAGCATGTATATATATATATATATACATACACACCTATACAGTCTATACAGTACATGGTTTTGAGGATACTTACCCGTTTTTGGGTTTAAACGGGAAGCCAACGGAACACTTGCCCATTTCAATGTCGACTTCATGGGGGGGGGCGTTCTCCCAAAAGTGATCCGGACCTCCTCCTAAATCGGATGCCCCTGTAAATCAAGCAGTGTTTTATTAGTCCACAGTTCCAATTGTGCTGGACGGCGGAAATTCAAATAGAACTTCAGTCGACGTTGGTGCTTCGGAAATTGGCACCGTTGGTTCCTCTGCTGGACAACAAGTCTGGTGCCATGTTCTACACATTCATGTACAATTGCCACCGGACATGGACGCGGTCAACATTGTGATGCCAGCACGGATATTTCCAACGCCCTCTTCTTTGCCAGGCGTTTAGGCCAGGTTTCGTAGCGATGTTTGACGGCTCGAGCCATTACTGGTGAATGGAAAGGGATGAGCACTCTTGTGATGCGGTGCGCGTCATTGCCGAGAACGAGGTGGTGCCTGACTCTCATGTCGTCGCGTTCACCATCCCACAGGGCGTCTGCAGAACGGGTCGCGCGACCGATTCTTGTGCTTGCTCATTGCCTTCCTGGCATGTGTTGTTCAACTACAATTAGCAAATTAAGCAGACACCACGGGCCCCAGTTTGATATGTGTCCTCCTGTTGCATTCTTTAGCGGTCGAAACACCCGTTGGTTGTCAATGTAGCGACGTCACTCACCCACAGAGAAGGTTCTTTCTTCACATCCCTCCTGTCCACCAACATGGAACCCGGGTCCATTTCAAGGCAGACTGTCTTCCAGGATCAGTCAGGTTCCATGTGGACAGGAGCGTACTTTATTTTCGGTTGGTCAAATAAAACAACTTGCCTAGATTGCCTTGCTTTGTTGGTTTTGAAGGGAAGCCCAGAAGGAACACCCCCCCCAACCCACCCACCCACTCACCCAACCAACCTACCTTCCAACCTGCCGACCAAACTACCAACCAACCTACTAACCAAGCAACCTACCTGCCCACCACCCACAGACCTGCGACCCGTAACTTGCCCACTTCCTCTCGTCTTCGTCTCAGACGGCGAGCTGGAGACGCCCCTCCGAGGCACGGGATAGGAGAAGGCAGCCGTGTGCCTTTTTTTTTTTTTTCGAAACGGTGAGCCCTGCGAGAAGAAGGGCTCGTCTTTTTTGCGGGAGCCCCCTTCTGCTTGGTTTTGAAAGGGAAAGAAACGAAACCACACATCTGTACAGTAATTCACCCTAGCAGCGGCCCCCAGAGGAGAAGGCATTGCCCGAAGCGCGGCTTTCCCACCATCCTTCCTTTTCGACAGACCCTTCGCTCTTGGACTTTGCTTTTGCTTCCAACCCACTCAGGTGAATTGAGACGGGCGGTTTCCCAGGACCCTTCGGTCAGAACCCAATTGTAGCTATGCATTTAGAAACAAAGGGTGACACGCACTTCCGCACACTGACATGGCGCCGGACTGGGGGTCCTTAGGCGAGGTCTGCCTTTCGAACATGTTCCCACGGGGGCATTCTATCAGTTTTGGTTGTGCCATGCACGCCTCGAGGCTACTTTGCAGGGCCAAGGCCCAACACTCTATAGACCCCAAGTCTGCACGGTGTCCTCCGAGATGTTATAGATGTAGTTCAAGCTTGATCAAGTATGAAACCGGACATAAACGGGTGTGTAAGTTTTTGAGGGTATCCTTTTGGGTGTGTTTCAACGGGTGCACCATGTCTGGGGGTTCCCGGAAAGAAGTCGCACCCAAATCAACCAACGATTTTTGGTGTAGCCTGAATTTGGTTGGGCTATGCCAGGCTGGCCGGCTCGGCTACGAGGAGCTGGAGGAGGAAAACTGGCCGGGCCGCCCGGAGGTGTTCCTTTTGGTTCTCGGTGAGCTTCCCACGCAACTACCATTTGGATGGTTTTCTTCGGAAAGACTCCCTTGTTCCCTATGGAGAACCCGACAAAACCAGGCCCTCTGCTTTTTTGGGGCGGTGGTACTATCTCCCTGAGATCACGGACTTTATGCCCGGGAAGACCTAGCGGCAAGCAAAAGTTTGGACTTGTTTTTTGCCGATCCACTCAGGAAGTGAGGTGAATGCACGTCACGCTAGTGTTGCTTGGTAGTACCCCGAAAGCATTTTTATTGGAACGATATTCCCTTCCAGAAAGCATTGTACCAGACAAACCGTGTCCTTTTTCCCATGGCGCAGAGTTCTCAAGTGAGGTCTTAGAGCTCGGTTTTACGCAAGCCAGGCGAATTATCGCCCCAAGCATCATTTTCACACATCGTGTTTGTCTCCGTGGCTAACGCAAAGATTCAGGTGGCCATGATGTTTGTCACAATGCCCTTTGGGCCGCAATACGCAAAGATGCCGAGCGCGGTCAGCGTCTGCATACCAATTGGTCGTCTTATCCGGAAGGCAGCCCGTATTCTCAGGCGTGGCTCATCTAGGTTCCCTTTTGCACGGCCAACAGGCGATGTTCAATACCGCCAACAGCCACAGAGGCACACCTAGGGAACTCTCTTCACCTCTGGAGCCTGGCTTTTGGGCCCTGGAAAATCGGAAGCCGATCGGAACTCCGAGGCGGCTGCGGGAGGAGGTGGGCAGGCTTCGGGGCGAGCTCGAGAAGTGCGCTTGGGCGTGGTTCCTGTTGCTCACTTTTTGGGGTCCACTTTTGGTGAGACACCATTTTAGTAGCACACCAAGAGTTGTTTTCGAGCTAATCCACTTAGGAAGTGAGCTTTTGAAGGGCTTTGGACCTTCAGAATGCATTTGCAAGGTTGCAAATGGCACCCCAGTTGCGGGGTGATGCCCGCTAGTAGCAAATCCCGCGCTGCGGCGGTTTCATGTCTTGGCAGGGAAGTATCCCTTGGGAAACCTTGACCATGAACCACTCAGCTAACAGCATACGAGACCAGTGGGCTACGTACTAATTGCATGCGTCAAGAAACGGCACTCCAACTTGGTGGTTTTCCCTTGGGCTCTCCCTCTAAACTGATGACAAGGGCGCCGGGCCTCGACATTAGACATGGCCATGGTTCAAAACCAATGGGATCCCATTTTGGGCTAGGTGCACCACCCATTTTAGAACCTATTTTAGTGGGGATTGGGATGTTCACTGGGGGTACGATTTGGGTTTTGACCTTGGATTCGGCTTCCTTCAGCCCTCGTGGTCCTTTGGAGTGCTTAAGGCTGGGCGTGCTTACTTGGGCGTTTGGTCAAGTTAGTAAGTTGTTGGTAATCCAAGCTATTGCTTTTAAGTCCCCCTAAGTAGAGTTACAGTAACCTTTCTATGAGCGAGTTGCAGCCCAGGTGGCTAGCCTCCTACTATCTTGGCCGAACATCCAAGTAGACAGCATGGGGTTATCCTTTCCTTGGACCCCCTAATAGGCAGCACGATACAATTTGCCCGAACCCGATCTTCGATCTACCAGCCTTTTGCTCAGAGAAGCAAGCCGTCCTGACGCGGCCAGAACCGCCCACTCAAAACGGGAGCGACACACTGCTTGCAAGGGGGAGCCTCTGTGTAATTTGCCTTGGCCCCCAATCACCTTTCCATTTTGACTGAAGGCTTTTTGGGAAGACACATACTTTGTGCGAGCTTCCCTGGAACGTTTTTGGTGACCCGACTTAGGGAGTCGCACTGAGTTCTGAAAATGAGTGCATTTCGTTTAACCATGATCCTCGCGCTCTCCTGCGGGCATAGCAGAAAAACGAAGAAGAGATACGTTTAGTAAACAAAGATTGGACATTCCAATCCACTCAAGTGAGCAACCTTGCCACCTTGCCCCCTTGCCCCGCCCAGAAAGGCCCAAAAAGGCCGCACTGACGTACCCCAATCTACCCTGAACCTTCGGATTTCCGATATCGGGTTTATGACGTGTAGTGATTCCATTCCCTACTCCAAGTGCCTCTGACTCACGTGCTTCGAGCCCCCTTAGGGGTACTAGGATTTTCTCGCTCCTTTCTCCACGCCCCAAAAGAGATGATACTTCCCACCAACTGGGAACAGTTTACCCATGGTCATTTAAAGGCCGACGGGAAGATTGCTGATACCTCCCACTAAATTGGGAGAAGTTGCCCATGGTCATTTTGAGGGCAACAGGGACTATAGATCAACGTCTATGTGCAGCCACCGCCATGACGTGGACGTGGACAAGGCCCCGAAGCTCGCGAAGGACGCGGACGCGGAGGAAACCAAGTTCGAGGAGGGCACCCCGCGGCGTCTGCCCAGTAGCAAGGTGCACCAGGAGCCTGGCGCCCGGCGCGGCCCGGCGGGAAACATGGAAGGGCAAGACTCACCCGGCGCCTCTTTTTGCATTTTTTTCAAGAAAGGAGATTTCAACCACCCAGAAGAAGCTGGGGCAGCGCTTACTCTCCCGGGGGGTGCGAACAATCGTAAGAAGGGCGCCCTTTCTGGCATGAACTTGCAGGTCATTATTTTGGGTGTTTCTGGGGGTTATCAAAGTGACAGAGTGGGTTGTTTCCCTTTAACCTGCCACTTGGGGGGGGGCGACTTTGACATGGAACCTCTTGAGCCCACCGGTTTAGAGGCATCTCCTTTTGGGAAGGAGCATGACCTTTTCCGTAGACAAAATAGAAACCACCACTTTGGGGGGTAGCTCCCTGAGCTCAATGCTTGCTTCTTCAAAACAGGCCTTTTGACTTGTTGATTTCCTCATTTTGGTCCATGTTTAGCTAAACGGTCCCAAAGACCGTCTCTTGTAGGTCCCTACAAGCGATAGGAAACCCCGGTGCATGGTTTCCTGTTGGTTTCCCTAAGCAATTCAAAGTCGCAGGTCACAAGCCTCCTTTTGATGAAGCGAATATGTCATGTTATTTTTCCCCTCTTGGTTTGAAAGGTCACCTATCACTGGCAACGACTTGTTCTCGTATTCTAGTCCAAGGGGCAGCTTAGGCAGATGGAAGCCAGCACTTACCTCCAGGGCACCCCATGGTTCTACCAAAGGCCCATGGTCGGCCCTTTACGGCGCGCAGTCAGGATGGCTGCCCTTGGTGCTGATCGCTTTGTCCTCCGTGGGATTCTCGGTGCAGGCCAAGGAAGACTCGGAACACGTGAAGCCAAAAGCGGTTGGGAGAGAAGGATTTTGCGGGGTGTTCCCCTTGAACACGGCCTATTCGTTTGACTTTTTGGATGTTATCAAACCTGCCACTTGAAAAGGGTGACTTTGATCGTGAAATCATGGGTCCAGCTTAGAAGAGGTTTGGGTTTTGCTGAGCGAGGGTTGCTTTTTGGGACTGAGTGAACCCCGATTCGGGGTTCCTTTTTTCGGGGTGTCGAAATTACTTTTGGGGAGAACTGGAAAAGAGGGGTAAATTCGAATGCCGCTCTAATGGATAGGGTTCCCTGACGTAGTCTTTTCAGACCTCCAGTGTGACAATGCTCGTTTGAGCTGGAGATCCACTACTGGAGGTCTGAGTCTTGGGATGGCTGGAAAAGAAACATCCACTGAGAACTGATACCAACCAACGGAGATCCATTCAATCCCATCCCCCCCCCCCCAGCTCTGCTCTTTCCCGGAAGGAAGAGATACCTGGAAACCACCAGGCATGGACGAACCGGCCATCGAACCCAAAATGACCCCGAGCGATGGATGCTACGACACTTCGCTCGAGGCGCTGATGGTCCGTGAGCTGACGCTGCAAGGGCTGGGCACTTTTCAGATACTCATGGTGCGGGGCCTGTGCCAGGCGCGCCGCTTTGCTAGCGGAAAATAAGCGTTGTCGGGGTGGTGGGAAGCCACTGGTAAACGGTTGAGTTTGATTTGGGGTGTCTCTTTTTGGAGGATTCATTTTAGAGGGACCCCAGAGTCCAGGGTTTAATCCGAACTAACATGGAAAGCTATATAAATGACAACGCGGAAGTCTTTGCCATGTGTAACACGCTGCGAGGGTTTGCAAAATGTAGCAGGGCTCTGAGCAAAGTGCTGAGATGCTGCGCAATCTTGTGACGCGCCAACTCATGTTAAAGTAACAGCGCTTAGAGCCAGAGTTGAACAGATCTTATTGGAATAGAGCTCTTCAGTTATGCGCTGCTGACATAGAGGCAGAGCCGCAGAGCAACGGACTGACTGTGAACATGTGTGGTGTGCTCTTATTGCGCACTGGGCTAAAGTGTTAACCGTAGGTGGTCGCTTGTCTTGACTCTTTGTAAGTATCCACTTGGGCCACCATTTTGGCTCAAGTGGACACTTCCCTTTTGTCTTGGAATCTGAAATCTCTCATTCCCCTCCTATCAAAGCCATGTACACCCCCGCCTATGCTGGTGCCGCGGTTGCAGAGGCTAAGGCGAAGGCGAAGGCATCCATGGCGAAGTACCTGGCAAGCCTTGTGAAAAAGGAGGAAGAAGGTTGGACCGTCCTGGCGGCTGAGGTCCCTCAGGCACCGGACGAACGGTTCTTCTCCAGCGCCGACGAGCTGGAGCAAGCCCCACTCATCCCAGCCAAGCGTAAGGCCGAGGACGAGCTGATGGCGGACTCCCCCCCTGGGGTGGCGCAGGTGCCGAAGGCCCTGACACGCCCCCCAGGGGCGTTCCTGGAGCTTCTCGACCCTCCAGAGCCGGATGTTCCCATGGAGGAACTCCTGGCGGAAGACGAGGAGGAGCCCCCGATGGAGGAACCCCTGGCGGAAGATGAGGTGGACCCCCCGATGTCCGACACCAAGTGGCAGGGACGCCAGGACCTTATGGAAAAGGCCAGGGCGCAGGTGTCCTCGGAGGGGGATGAGGACCCCGCAGCCCCCCCGCCAGGGGGAAGCGTCTTCACCAAGGCCCTCAAAGTCTCTGAGGGCCTTTACCAATTCAGTGCGGACCAGATGGCGGGCGACTTCCCGTGTTTTGATGGGACCACGGCCGCCAGGCTCCGACGACTGCAGGCCAAGGATGTCCAGCGGCTCTTGAGAGGCTTTGAGGGCCCCCAACTCAAGCAGGGGGGCCTGGAGCGCGTGGTGGAGGCGTTCTACATCGCCAAGATGAAGTATGAGCATGAGGCCCTGCTCAGCACCCCGGGACAGAAGGTTGGCAAGCGCGCTGGCCTGGGGTATGGGGGCCTTGAGAACCGCCCCCTGGGTAAGGAGCCCACATCCTGGATCTGCCCCTGCTGCACCATGCCCTGGGTGAAGAAGGGCGCCAGGAAGTGTATGGGGTGCGGCAAAAAGACGGAGCCCATCGACACGGCGTCCAACTTGGCCACCCTGGAAATGGCGGGCACGCACTGGCAGCTGACAGTGGATGACCAGGGCAATGCGGTCTGGACGGCGGCCCGGTCCGCAGGTGCCGATGGCCCTGACACGGACCGGGCCCGCGACCTCAAGCTCAGCGCCTCGGTGGATGTCAGCGAGCTGGCCACCGACCCAATGGCATGCGAGAACCTGGACCAGGCCAGCTTCTCGGATTTTGTCCCCTCCTCGGTCCGGGCGGTGATCAGGAACTGCCCCATGGAGCTGGACGAGGATTTCCTGACGGCCCCAATGGGGGAAAGGCCCCCGTTGCCGGGCGACAAGGAAGAGGGCCAGGAGTGCAGGGCCTTCCACCCGTCGGCAGTGAAGGCCTTCAAAATCCAGACCCGGCTCAACGCCACCACCATCGCCCAGGAAGAGGCAAAGAAGGC